GGGTCTGCGGCTTGCAAGGGTTCAGGGGTTTAGGGTTCAGGGTTTAGGGTTTTGGGTTTAGGGTCTGTTCAGGTTTCAGAAAGGACTGTTGTGGCGTGTATACATAAGCAGTTTTTACAGGTTCAAGAGTAGCCCTCTCTCAGGTTTAGGGTTTAGGGTTTAGGACTCTGTTCAGGTTTGGTAGTGTTGGTGACGATCACCAATCCTCGGCTGCTGGTGTTCACGACGACTGTCCTTGATACTTGCATCGTTAGCATGTCTCTCAGTATTGCCATAACTCGTAACTGTGAAGATTGGTGTTCATACCGTTACTGTTACTATTCCGGTTATTGTAGTTGTGATTACTGCTACTGCTGCTGTGTGCTAGTGATACTACGACTACTAGTGTTGTTGCTGCTGTCGGTGTTGTTGTCATTGTTATCGGTGTTGGTGCTATTGCTAAAGCTACCATGGTTATCGTGATTTGCACTACACGCCTCAAAGCTCCAAATGAACATGAAAATCGAACGCCGGAGCTCCGCCAAGATCCCAACTAATACATTAGCATGATATTCAAGATTATTGTGGCTTTTAGAAACCGAATCACGATAACAATTATGTGAATAGTATCAACGTTACCAAACTCATATTGTTGACATTCTTCATAGTATGCATAGTATTCATAACACGTCACGAAAGCCCCCTAGAAACACCCGATGCTCTAGACAAGATACCCCGAAATTAGCAGATCCCTCAAGTCCCAAGCTTTCAGCACCCGAAGCCCTAAAATCCCCGACCCCAAAAGCCACGTAAACTCCAACAAGCACCACACTTTATATCCTAAAGCCTAAACCTCCAACAAACACCACACCTAATATCCACCCGTCTAGATCCTAACGTCTAAACCTCCAAAAAGCACCACACTTTAATCTAGACCCCTCTAGATCCTAAAGCCTAAAACTCAGTTCGGTAGGATACAAATACCGGGCCATGCTCCGCTTCGGCATGGAGGGCACTCAGCTGCAGCGCCTCTCCACGCTCTAGGGTACACTTTCTTGTGAGGCTTTGCCCAGAGATCCCAATACCCCTTAATTAAGGAATATAGCTTAAATCATAATATGAAGCCCTTTATGATTTAAGCTATATTCCTTGATTAAGGGGGTATTGGGATCTCTGGGTGTTGCTTAGGAGATTAGGGTGTTGCGATTTGGGGCTCCGGGGCTTGGAAGTAGGGTTGTCGGCATTTTGGTTTAAGGTTCATATAGGCTTTACTGTGCTTCAATGTGCTCTGGGGCATGTAAAAGGCCTTTGCGCTTCAGGGTGTCCACATATACATATATACCTATATATACATATATATATGTATATGCATATATATATATATATATATATATATATACATACATACACACACAGATATATACATATATACATATGCTTTCTACTGACATGTATATGTATATGTATATGAATATGTAAATGTATTGTTGTGGCTCTCATGTCAGTCATCTTCGATTCCTTTGGAACGGTGGCCTGCACGGCCGCAAGATTCAACACCATCACGCAACTAAGTTGAAGCCCGACCGCGAACCGTAAGCAGTTGTCCAATCCAAGACGCACACACCACAAACTCGGGGCCCGAATTCCGAGACCAATGAAGCCTAAAGCCCAGGAGCCTGCATCAACCGCACTCAAACCCTACAAGTCTTACAAGCCCTCTGCAACTCAACAAAACCTCCTTTACAACCCTAATTACCCAACACCATGATCAAGCCTGCGGTGACATCGACGTGGAACCCCAATAAGCTCTACATAACACCACTTCGAAACCCTATGAGGACTCTAGTCTAACCCCAGGCCCTTAACTGGAGGCCGAAACAATCAGTCAAGGGTTCCGGGGAGTAATTATCACATGGGTGGTTGTGAAAATTATGGTCCCTTCTTGGGTCCCTAATATAGTACGGCACCTAATGTTTAGGCTAACCAAAAAGGGATCATAATTTTGACAACCACCTACATCACTAATTATGGAAACCCTCGACCCCCGGGAGGATCCAAAAAGTAGATCCTTTAATGGGGTTCCTATAAAGTACCCTTAGTAGTATAGGGCCCCAAATTAGGGGATCTACTTTCTAGATCCTCCTTGGGGTCTGGGGAACTACGCCGACTTTTGCACTCCCAAAACGCTGGCTCGGGTCCCGACGCGCCGCACGGCAAACATTCGAAAACCTTTGCTTCGTCTGTTGCTAGCGACTCGCTTGGGGTTTAGGGGTTCGGGACATTGGGTTTGTAATTAAGGTTTAGGTTTCAAGGTTTAGGGCTTATAGTCTCCATTGTAGTTCATTTCTTGGTTAAATCAATTTTTATAGTTAGGGTTATATAAGGTAACCCAAAAAAGGAACTCCACTGGAGACTCTAGGTAGGGTTTAGGGGTTCGGGGCGCAGGGTTTAGGGGCTTAGGGGTAAGGTTTAGGGTTCAGGGTTTACGGTTTAGGGGGGGCGGTCTGAATCCGAACCCTTCCTATACCCTAAACCCTCTTTACCCGAAAACCTACTATCCCCTAAACCCTGCACGGGGAATTTTTCGCAGCTTGAAACTGTTTTAATGGAACTTGCGGCTCAGGACTCAACAAAAAATCCTGTTTAGGCCTTGTTCAGGATAAAGACGTTTCATGAAGGTCTGCAGACTAAATGCTTCAAGTATGCATTTCGGGGCGGCCTAAACCCTAAACCCTACGAAACCCTAAACCCTAGACCGTGCGTTCATGTCGGGTGGAGCCGGCGATTCAGGCTTGGAGTTTAGGGCCCAGATTCTGGACCGTGCAAGGCACCCAAGAGGTGCCCTTCCCAACATGTTCGAATCGCTTTCCCAAAGTAGTTCCGTTTTGGGGTTCATCTATAGAATCCTACAAGGTAACCCCAAAACTATACTGAACTTAGAACCCTAGCAAAAATTGAAATTTTAGCTGTTTCTTCGGGATTATAATAACCAAAAATTAAAATATATTTCAAAGTACCCCTAGGAAGCCCTACAACCTAGAGTCATACAATCTAAGCAGCAAGAACTCTACACCCTTAGCAGGTGCAAGATTGGACCTACATGTACTGTCCTGAAAGATCTTCTAAGTCTCTCCGTCTGAACCTCCATTGCTCTCTTCTTCAACAACCGGGCCCCAAAAAGTTCAAACTTTCTAAGATAGAGCTAATATATAAGGCCAAAAAGCTTAAAGTTTCCCCGTTCACTATCTAAGATTGGAATGGGCGGCGGTCTTGAACATCGAGACCAAGCATTTGGATTCCGGCAGCGACGTTGAATCGCTCTGCTTCCTGGCCTCAGATGTAGTTTGTCGTGTCGTCTCGTGACCCTAAATTTCAGGGCTTTGGAGAAGGGGTTCAAGGTTTAGGGTTTCGGAGTGTTCTCTTCTAGCCTAAGACATCAGGCCTGTACATGCGTAGGGTTCTCCGAATCCTTCGGTCTTTGGAGAACGGGATGTGGAGTAGGCTCAAACCACGGCCACGAAACAAACGAGGATCCTTCTTACACTGGCCCCAAAATACGAGCGATCCTACGCGGGCGGCGGGAGAATGAAAGCGACATGGGCCATATCCGCCCGCGCTACCGTACCACGTAGTCAAAACCCCAAGAAAAGACCCTTTGACGTGAAGAAACCACCACCCGAACAAAGCTATGCCACCATCCCATCTGCAACCACAGAAACCCTATGCAGCATGCAACATAGAAAATATACTGAAGACACACCTCAGCATACGTAACCATACTGTATGGCATTCTACAATTACTGTAACATACTGAAGCAGGCTGGCTTTTACTGACGTGTGCTGTAATATACATTAAATACCTGTTTAACCTATAATATGTTTTACATACCCTGATAAATAAAACTATACTCTACTAGAACGCTAAAACCCCAAACCCTAAACCCTATTACTGCAAGCCTCCCCAAGACCCAAAGGCCGCTAAACCTAGAACTTGGGCTGCGCCGTGGCCTCGCCAACACTTGCGAGAAAGGAGGGGTTTAGTTTTCACTTAGTAGCTGAGTTCATAAGCCCCCCAAAAGAGTACACTTTTAGTTCTATAGTGGGTAATTTTATCCCAAAGAGTGTAAAGTGTATCCACTCAGCTACTGAGTTTTCATTTTATTTTGAAATGCACAAACCGCCCCAAACCCACCCCAAACCCAGCACAAACCCACCCAAACCCGGGCAGGTTGTTTGTGTTTGAGCGCCAGCAGGGGCTCTGGAACCATCAGGCAAGTCTCAGGAACTGTTTCGAACCTGTTCAGAAACAACCCAAAACCGTCCCGAACCGTTCCGAAGTGTCGGAAAGATGGTAAAGTGCCGATCTGGGCTGCAAAGCTCGAAGGACCGAATAGGTCTCGAGATTAATGTCACGATTCTTGAGGCCAGAAAACGCAAGGACAAACACCCTCTATTCAACAGATCACCAGCGATTCCAAATTGATTTGTTATTATTGTTATTTGTCCGAGTATAGATGTTTGGGGCTTTCGGTTTAGGGGCCACCGAACTATTGATGCCAGGCAATCGGATCCTTATACTATGACGGCCCTTTCGGACACCCCTCACGTCTCGAAATCCTCATCTTTAAGGTACAGAGGGAACCCTAAACCCCTAAACCGAATAACGCGGTGTTGGGTCTGGAAGGGCCTCAATAATTCTCTGGACCCTGGGAAGCAGTCGGACGGGTTGGTAGCCCCATGCAACCCCTGCACTCGGAAAGCCCCAAGGTTTAGGGTTTAGGGGTTTTCGGTCAAACTTACAGCAAGTCCCCACCGGCGCCTTGCGACAGTTTTTGGATGTTACGGAGTTCGAAAGCCTTCGCATAAACCCGCAACTAAACCCATAGTCGTGCCTGAATCCCCAAATGGTATCCACAAAGAACTCCACAATTTCAAAAACAAAAGAGCTGGACCCTCTGCGCCCTCTTGGGAACCCTAAACCCTAAACCCCTGAACCCGAAGTTTTGTTGAAGTCTGGCCGCGTTCTGCCGTCATCTCTTCACTGGCATAGAAACCTCCGAGTCTCCAGGATTGGGATTACGGGGCTGGCTTTTGGCAGGTTTTGGTCTAGGGTGCTAGTAGTATATAGTAGTAGTAGTAGGTAGTAGTAGTAGTAGTAGTAGTAGTAGTAGTAGTAGTAGTAGTAGTAGTAGTAGTAGTAGTAGTAGTAGTAGTAGTAGTAGTAGTAGTGGTGGTGGTGGTGGTGGTAGTAGTAGTAGTAGTAGTAGTAGTAGTAGTAGTAGTGGTAGTAGTAGTGGTAGTAGTAGTAGTAGTAGAGTCTAGGGTTTAAGGGGGCCTCTGCCTTTTTTTGGGGGGGGGGTTTTAGTTTGCTCGTTTCAAGGCTTTGGACCTTGGGGCTCCTCCCTGGGCTGAGGGCTTTGGCTTTGGGTCTACGATTGTCGAGCTCGACCCGCTCCTTATTGAATTATAGTATAATGCGCCCAAAACCCTGTTCTCATTAGTAAGGCCCCTACATTAGGGGTCTAGGGTAATTCAGGGGTCTAGGGTTTTGGGACACTTTGACTCGGGGGTCGAGGAATTGAAAGTCGCCTGGCTCAAAATGCAGAAGCCGAGTGTGTACAAGAACACATGTGCATGGGAATGTCGGGCGACAACGTGAACCCTAAATACATGGTTCCTTGATGCATGGACCTCGACAGCCGTATCCGACCGCGGTATTGAGCTCCAGATTCAAGTAGTTTGGACACTCGAATTATCTGCTCTCATCATAACGCGCCGATTGTTTCATGTCTTCTCATTTTTTCATCTACTGGTGGTGCTAAGCACCAAGTTGACGTGACGGGCAGAAGCTGGGGTTGTCTCAGTTGCATTAGTCGCAATAATTGACTTTAATCGTTTTTGCCTCCACAGCCGGGCTGTGTTATCCTCTGTTTCTGTCTAGGTGCCTCAGAAGAAATCCTACTGCGCCGGTTTCGGCATCTGGCGGGTTCAGGGTCTGATTCGACTGTCGGTTTCCACGAGATCCTCAACTGAACTCCTCTGATTCGGTGTTGAACATGCTAAGATAGCCGGTAATGCTAGAGAAACTCCGAGACCCGGATTCTTACCAGGCGGCTGTCTGCTTGCTGCATAAGCATCATCACGGCAGTTCCCAGGCCACTTGCACTGCCTGCCATGGGAGACATCAGTCGGTTCAGACTTTACTGTTGAAGGGCCAGACCCCAATAAATATCTCAGTATTGCCCAAAAACCCTGAACCCTAAATCCTAATTAAATAAATCCTAGTTCTGTTGCCCTGCCCTCCAAAGCTAGCAACCTAACCCCATCGCCCCACGTACAGTTCATGGCGACATGCCTGATTTGGGAGCCTGAGAGCATTTGCGCCTGCGCCAGGCTTGTGGGATGGTTGCGTGGTTGTGGATGGATCTGCTGCACGTAACCATGGGACGAAGACCGCGAAACCTTTGGCCCTAGACGCAAGAACCCCAAAACCACAAGCCCTAACCCCAGAAACTGCAAAACCCCAGACCGCGAAACCTTTCAGAAGCGCGATAGACAGCCTTAACAACTCTAAACCTCTAAACCCGAAACTCCGAAACCCCAAACCCTAAACCCGAAACCCCAAACCCTAGCAACCAAAGACTAAAACGTCAGCCCCAAGTCCCCCCAAGCTCACCCCATGCAGTCCCAGGTGCTCGGCTGGGCGCTGTTCATCTCAAGATCCTTTGGGGCTGCCAATTTGTAATGTAGGATTCAGGTGGTTTCGGGGGTCTCTTGCAAGGGTTGAGAAGGGTGTTTCCGAAAATATGGGACCCTAATATAGTACCCTAAATAGTATACGGGCCCCAAATTAAGGTACCCCTCATTTTCGGAAATTTCCATAGGTGTCTACAAGGGGACTCCAGGCTTACAAGGCTCAGGGTTTAGTGAGTTCGTGGTGTGTAAGAATAAGGCTTTGGGCCCTTACGAGCCAGTGTCGAGTTCACGGTTTAAGGGTACTATATAAGGGACTTGATAATTACCTATACTGTTTTGGGGGTTCCTTACTATAATTTTTGTATAGCGGGTCCCGAAACTCTATTCTACTTAACAAGGCCGCTATATTAAGCTCAATCAAACACCTCAGGTGTTGCGACGCTGCAAAACCTGTGACGCCCTGCAAAGCACTAGGGGGTCACCAACATCGAGGCCCTCTGAACCCATCTCATCACTTTCTTGCAAAGCCGAAGTCCAAGGCCACACCCGCCACATCCACAGCTCCAAAACTCCTCGAAACCCGGATCCAAAACCAACAGCAGCCGATGCAGTCAGTATCCCTAAACTCAACACCCCTGAACCCTAAACCCTCAAGCCCCTCAACCCATGAACAGATCATCCCATACTACTCTAAACCCCAAATCCCTGCATTACAAGAGACGGGGCATGGACCCCTACCCTATAATGGGCTATACAATGGGTATATAATCGCTATATTAAGGGGAAACCCTAAACCCTAAACCCCTAAACCCTAAATCCTAAACCCTAAACCCTAAATACCTAGGGGTGCCTATTTTTTTTTGACGGGGCACTGCATCTTCCAGCTCGGATCGCAGGACCGCCGAATCTTCAAAGTCGCTTCGCAAGGCGCTGCCCAGCCACACGCAGAGCAGCAGACGTGGCATCATGGCGGTAACCTTGGCTGGGGGTTTAGGGTTTAGGGCATTCTGGTGGTATCCTTGCTGTAGGGCTTGGGGTTGAAAAATCTAGGGCCGTGTTCTTGTTGAGGGCGTTTTTTTCGGATTTTTTGGGGATCAGGGCTCCGGGGCAGTGGGGCTTGAGGATCTGTGGTGCAGGCTGTAGGACGATGCAGGATTTCAACACAGGATTTTTTTTTTAAGTGCAATAGCCCCTTTATTGGGTCAGTGCAGGGCATGGCTAGGAAAACACGGGAAAGTTTAGGGGTTAGGGTTAAGGGTTTAGGGTTTAGGAAGTATGAACTACCCAGGACTGCACCAGGACCCACACTGCGATCATCGGTACGATCATGCTCTTCAAGAGGCTCTAGGTACAAGTTGGCATGGCGCGATCTTCAAACAGTACCTCAGGGTTTAACATCGAAGTAAAGCCCCAAGCTAAGATGACGTCTTAGCCCATGAAGGCAACGGAACTATATACCTTCTTGCTGGAATTCAAGGACGAGTCGGGATGTACTGTAAGGGCTACTATACGGCATTACAAAGGAGCTAAACCCTAAACCCTATAGGGATCCACTTGAAGAATCGCATCCAGAGGTCGGACTCAAGGTCTCCGAATTTCGCAGACCCAAGACAGATTAGGGTTTAGGGGTTTAGGGTTTAGGGACAGAGGCTTAATGGTTTCAGTAAAGCTTTGGGGTATGGTATAGCGCAGACATATATACATATATGTGTGATCTAATGTAGGCATGTTATTGATAAACATATATAAATACATACGCATACATATATATATATATATATATATATATATATACACACGGACTTGGCCTGAACGATTGAAAATTACACTTAGATAAGGACTATGCGGGGATCTTACGTAGTACTAAGTACTTCGACCTTTAATCTCCCTCTTGTCGCAGTGCCCTCAGCTCTGACTCCTGAGTTCCATTGAGAAGTCGGGCTCTTTGCAAGGTTCGGGCAATACAGGGGCCTGAATAGTCAGAACAGGGTTTGGGGTAATGTAGGTGCCTGGATAATTAGAATAGGGTTTCGGGGGCTCCTTATTATAGGTATGGTATGATACCCCCCCACTACATTACATTATACCACAGAAAAAATGGATAATTCTCTAGGCTTCTATATGATCGTGTACTTAGCCTTGAGGTGCCTATCTCAATGATTTTGGGTATTGAACGTAGTAACAGCCTCGAAAAAGACGGTGACTGCGAACCGCCCCCCCGCTTGCACCACGCCAAAGTGGCAAAATGTACTTGTAGCTTGGCAAGCTGACGGAATCCTGGGATTGGGGTTGAGGGACCCCGGTTTAGGGTGCCGGGTTTTGGGTCTCGATGCCTGCATGCCCCGGTAGGCTGTGCCGTGGTTGGTGGTTTGAACATTCCGACATTGCTGAGAGCTTATGGTTTAGGGTTTAGGGTCTGATACAACTGTGATGACGTTACGACTGCTGCGCAAACACCCCTACTAACTAAGACCACGGGCTATTCTACATTGCCCTTTCTGATGCTTTCTGGTGCAGAGTTGTCCGAAACCTCTTGGGGATAATGTTGGACTTCCCAGCTCGCGCTTAAAGCCTCGAGCTTTCGAACTAAAAGACATCCCGAATACTCACCCAGAACTCTAACGTCAGACCACAAGGTACACCACGGCCGTCATCTACTTCCTGGCAACTGGTCTGCAACGGGTTTGCGTAACCCTCAACCTAGAAACATTAAACCACGCTGTTTGAAGCCTTAACCTGAAAGTTGAACCTACCGAAAGAGAGCTACCTCCCTGAGTGCCCTTAAACCCATAATTGACCGGACAAGTTTCGCTTTAGAAATCGGCCTTTGGACTGTAGTTTCGGGTTTTGTGCTCGGGAACCTTGTCTGATGATACCCGCAGCTACCGCACTGCAGGGTTTAGCACTTCTGATAGCTACGACCCTCGGTGATCACAGGGGCATGAATCATAGTCAGATGAATCGTAGTTAGATGCAGGGTTTGGGGTTTGGGGCATGCTCGAATATGTATGCATGTAAATAGAGACCAGGACTACGGGGATAGTGATGCAAGCCTGTACGTGTGGCTTCAGGGCCCAAGTTTGCTGGGGGTCGCGCCCACATGTTCTCCATTGGGGAACGCCTGGAACCGATTGAAGTGCCTCGTAACCTATTGCACTTATACCGACTTATAGCCGTACATCCCCCTAGCTCCTAACAAACAACCAGAACACACCACGAATCACATATGTTCGACGTGACCCAACCCAAAAGGACTACCGATGCAGCAAAGGCTCGCCACAAGGGTGGCGCTTTGGCTGGCTGTTTGAACCAACGCCGTGTCCGAGTGCAGGGCTACTTTTTTCTGAAAATCATGTGCTTTTGGGCTTGGCTCGTGTGGCTAAACGCTCAAGTTGAAAGCCACAGGCCCTAAGCACCACAGCTGAAAGCACTTTGGGCTTTTGAAGGACCCATTACAAGGCTCCACAACCGAATCTCACAGGTTTTAAGATCCAGGGCGCTTCTTGGGTTTAGGTTATTGGAAAGCCAATGACCCCAAACCCAAAGACGACGATCCTAATGGAACAATACTTCGTAGAGGCCTCAATGAGTGGCATAGGGTTTTGCGGGCAGTATATCTACAAACAGGATTTCATGTTGGGAACTTATCATACTGAGAATATCTGTGCAACTGAGAGATATCCCGTCCTGCAGAAACACTTAACGTGAACCTCAGAAACTTGGAACATGGACTTAGGATGATTAGTGCTGGGATCCCCTATGCTTTGGATAATGATGTTCCAACTTTCTCGCTCCTGCTATAGCTCTCAACTCTACGACTAAATTTTAGTAAAATTCTTCTGCCATGAGGCGTGACGGCCTGAGAACCTCAAACCCAAAGCCCTAAGCGACGCCAGCGGCATATGCAGGGATGATGTAAGGACCCTAGGGCCCCCAGTGCAGATTCCAGAAGTTGCATGCTGAGAAACTCCCACATTGATGTAGCATCAGCCTAGGACGCAGCTCCAGTTGTAAGCACGTTCCGCGATGAAATGCCGCGGCCATGCTTGTGAAACGCACAGCAGTGCTGCTAACGCAGGTGCTGCATAGCGGGTTCTTCGCCCATAAATCTCCATCCACCTGGTTGCATCGTCACCGTCTGCTGGATATGCTAGCCTGTTGTTCATGCGAATGCATCACCAACAATCGTCCCGGCCGGATTGTGCCACTTCTCATGCACGGCGCATCCAAAGCACTGCAGGATCTGACCGAGAACCGAAGTAAAACATCCGCGAAGCTACCGACGCACAAGTAAACGGTGATCGGGTCCCACAAATCTATGCGCAGAGATTTCCTTGACAGGATGTTGGTGGGGTGGCGACACGTCGAGCGTTTGCATTAGGACGCGCCAGCATGAAAACGTGCAGTCAGGTTCATGTCCGAGTGCCGTCAGCATTTGGACCTCGGTCAAGGGTTTTGCTTTCTCCAAATCTGAGCGTGTAGGGCGAGTCTAGGTCTTACTTCGTAGGGCTTGCGGTTTAGGGTTGCGAGACATAGGCCTGGGGTTTAGAGTTTAGCCTCTAGTGTCAAGTTTCCAAGGACCGGGCCATTGTGACCATGAGCACGGTTGACCTTGAGCATGGGGGGATCTCAGGATGAGGACACGCTTGGACGTTCTAAGGATAAGGGGAGCCCAAAGAAAGATTATAAGGGTCCTTGCCAGTATTCCATAAGGAGCAATTTCAAGAGCAGGGTGCCGTGCGTGTTTAAACATGCACGTGCACGGGACACGGTGGCATGATTACATGTCAACGAATACTCGTGCTTGACTTAACTGCAGCATAAGCGTGGCATGGGCGAACAGCCGAGGCGCCCTGTCGGGGTGCACCGCCGCCTTGCGAAGTCGTTCCTGGCGCTCCTGGCAAACGCTTACTTTGGTCCCTTGTTTTCTGGAAATGGCAACATGAGAAGCCCGAATCGGCGTAGGGATTACAGAACAGTTATGGGTAGGATCCCAATCAGACGCCGTGAACATTCGACCTCCGTGCCTCTTCCGGGTTTTGGAGACGTGTAGTGCAGGAGCGGGAGTTGGTCCACAATCCGTTCTGATGCCTTCAAGCCCGCATCAGTGCTGCAAAGAACTGGTGCTGTATGTTGCTGCAATGAGCCCTGGGCAGCTGCATTGCTTCCAGCTCTGGCATGGTTCGTTTTTGGCCTTAATCAGTCAGAAAAGCATGGCAATGAAAGACTGGCAGTGTCTAGTGTCCGTGCGGCCCAGTCGCGGCCTGAGGACGGGATCGGATGCCCTGTGGGCTTAGTGTCGCTGCCCAGCTCATGCGTCGCGGGCAAGCAGTCCGTCGCCAGCAGGTCCTAGAAGTGTCACTTTCACTGACAATGAAAATTGAATTTGTGAGGCCCAGGGAGCCCTGTGCCCCCTTTAATCTAGAAATATTCCTCACATCATAGTAGGGACCCCAGTACGATATCAAGTACATTCCTTCATTAAGGGGTGTTGGGCTCTCTGGGGACATTCTGTGGCGGAGACTGTGTAGGCCGCAAGCTCGAAGCTGGCCTCCGAGCTTTCCTGCACGCTGCTGCAGTTGTCAGAAAAGGAAGCCGCAGCTTTAGGGTTGAAGGCTTTGGGCTGAAGGTTTACGGACGCTCTCCCCAAATAATGAAAAATCAAGTGGAAAACGATAACAAGTTTGACCTCTGCTAAATGTGCCGCGCCTGGTGGCCGTCGAGCCATTTGGCTAGCTCCTTGAACGCGTCAACTTATGGAAGGGTGACTGTTGTGTTTCATCACTGTTTCACAGGGGACCCTCACAAAACAGCTAGGCCAAGCAACTATTCATTGTTTGGCATCATATTGAAAATGTGCGCAACTAACTTGCTTCACGCTTCCGGAAAAGCTTCAGGATGAAACGGCGCGCAGGCTTGAACATGCTCTTGCAAAAGTCTTCTGATTTGCATGCATTCACGGACT